ACTTGTGTTGTTTTGATTTTCAGCATCTTTTTCTCTTTTTCTTATACTGCTGACTTGATTATATTTGGAAGAGCTCACTCTCAATCTGGTTCAGACGTAATTGACATCTTACCCTTACTACTCTTTTTCCAGGCACACAGATATAACCTAAGTCTGGCCCTTTAACCATTTTATTCTCCTGGCCAGAGTGATTGATTCAGAGTTGCATATGACCCATGTTAGTGCATTCAGAAGAAATACTGACACTTGTTTTTCCTGGAACATACTGAGAATGAGAATCTCTCTTTAAACTGCTTTCTTTTTAAAAAGATGATGCCGGGAACTCCCTTTCGGGATGGCTTCACTGTTATAGCTAGGTATAGAGTTTAGGTCTAAAATAATTTTTCTCAGAATTTTAAAGCATATGCCATGTGACTGCAGGGTGACTCTATTTTGTGGAACAAAGGCAAAATATAATATTAACTAAATATTGAAAAATACCGGTTCACATTCATTTCCTTCCAGAAACTAGCATAGATAATCATATATAATTTTGAACTGAAGGTTCTAGTGATCCTTTCTAATTCATCTTTCAATCTCAGTACCTAGCATACTGCCCACTTCATAGTCATTACTGAAATGAATAATGACTTTTGAATATAGGTGTTGTAACATCAAACCTTTTCTTCACTACACAGAACTAAACTGTTTTTAATTTTGTAAGGAGTTGAAAATATTTTTTCAAGGTTGACATCATATTATCTTTCAAGGCTCCTCAATTATAATTTGGCTTCTAAAGTTTCAATGAATATTATGAAAAACTTCATAGGAAAGATTTTCCTTTAATTTATAACTGCTGTGTACTTAATATGCTTGGACTTACACTGGTTGAATAAGACATAATCCACACTGTCTATACTCAGAGAGATCCTATTTAGCAGATAAGATGGACAGAAGTACACTTTTATCTCTGTGTTGTAAGAGCAGCAGATGTAAAACATGGAGGGAGTGGAGTGATTAACTTTATCTGTGAAGATCAGAAAAGTGTACTTGAAGGGTATACAAGTGCAGGTGAAGGATATCATAAGCAAAGGAAAGGAATGTTTAAATACACCAGCATTTGATGCAGCAACATTTGGGGGGAACTGTAGACAGTGTTGGGGCTTCCCAGGTGATGCTAGTAGTCAAGAACTTGCCTGCCAATGCAGGAGACATAAGAGACCTGGTTTTGATCCCTGGGTCAGGAAGACCCCCTGGAGGAGGGAATGGCAACCCACTCCAGTATTCTTGCCTGAGAATCCCATGGGTAGAGGAGCCTGGGGGGGGGGGGGCTTCAGTCCATAGGGTCACAAAGAGTTGGACAAGTCTAAAGTGACTTGATATGCACTTAGCACATATGTAGACCATGTTGGGCTTTCCAGGTAACTCAGTGGGTAAAGAATCCACCTGCAGTGCAGGAGACGTAGGAGATGTGGGTTCAATCCCTGGGTCTGGAAGATCCCCTGGAGAAGGGCATGGAAACTCAATCCAATATTCTTCCTGGAGAATTCCATGGACAGAGGAGCCTAGTAAGCTATAGTCCATAGAGTTACACAGAGTCGGACAGGACTGAAGTGACTGAGCATGCATGCATGAAGACAGTTAACTATCCATTTCCAATATGGATAGTAAGAGAAAAGACTAAAGAGAAATGCTGAGGGCATATCAAGGAGGACTTTGGGTGCCATATCAAAGAACTTTGACTTTAGTCAGCTGACCAGTGTCATTAATTCTTAAATAAAATCTACTTGAGAAACATACAAATTCCTCCCTAAAACAGTTTTGAGGCTATAGTAGCTTGCATATTTATCCTTCAGTGAAAACCATTTCTATAGATAAAGTGGATCTTTCAAAACACCTTGCAGAGTACAGAGAAGCATTCTGGAAACAATGGGGAGGTGGACTGGATGATAGACATGAAAGATAGATTTAAGGTAGTGGCTATGTAAATGTGCAGGTGGACAGATTTGAGCAACTTAAGGGATGGTAGGTAGGACCAGCAGGAGTTCTTATATAAATCAGGGCTCTGATCCAATTTATTTCTTTATATTTAAGTCAGAATAAGAAAGCTTTAAAAATAATTATCCTTTAGGATGAAAGGAATATAATCAGTGGAATTTAGATTTGGTAATGTATATTTTTCAAATTTACAAACATAGAGGCTATTTATAACCCTTTAGAGAATGATTATTTATAAACATATTTTAAAAAGGGAAAGGGGACATTGCTTCATAAACTGAAATAATTAATTTATAGCTTGAGACTGCTGACAAAAGATGCTACTTATTCCTTCACTTTAGATTTGATGGCATAATCATGTATAGTTTTGTATTTTCTGAAATAGTCTAATATCTGTTGGTTCCAAATTTATGCAGATAATATTAAATTAGTTTTGGTGCTCTAAAAGACATTTAGAACTTAAAGGTAACTACTTCCTAATTTTCTTCTGCTCTTATGATTTGCTTTTTTTTTAATATTTTGTAATATTTACATTTTTATTTTGTAAATTGGGTGGATAGAGTAATACTTCCCAATGTCTTTTACATCATGGTATACCTAGAAAATGAAATATGTATACAATACAAAAAAGGAGATATATGAGGTTGTTTCCTTTAGGGATCACAAGCCAGGTACTCTAACCTATCATATCCTTATCAGACTACTCTAAAGCAGGAGGGAACTATGGTCATCTCCCACTCCCACAGCACATTCACAGTGGTTGGAATGCTCTGAGTTAGTTCAGGGTGATGGAATGGACATGTGCATTGTTTAGTGAGTACTCACTCTGATAGCATCTGACATATAACAAAATGCCAGTTGGCTCAAGAAATAGTTGCTAGTGGTCACATAAGAATTTCACAACAGGACAACTTATAATTATTATGAAGAGCATATGAAAACATGTGTTTCATTGATGAGGACTCAGGATAGGATATTATAAATAGCCAATTCTTTCATTTAAAAATGAAAACACTCAAGACTAAAAAAAATTATGTGTCTTTGACTAGGAAGTAAATGAATTGAAGTTAAATGACTGTAAGTTTTATGAGTTTGGGGACATTTTGTTAATTGCTACATTCCATTCCTTGGTACAGTGCATAGCACATGGGAGAAACTTCCTAAGACTTTGTTGAGTCAATGAATGAATGAATGAATTGGCTAAGGTCAAAAGGTAATGACAGAGCCAATAGGAGAATTACAATCTTCCATTTTCCAGTTCAGTGATTCCCTGTGTATAAGACTTATGTGTCACACTGTTATCAGTGTTCTATGAATAATTCATCACGTTGGCACAAGGCACAAAAGGTCATGGACACATTCCAAAATGGAATATTTTAAGGATTTACCTTTTCTTCTGTTTTGTAACAGTTCCTATCAATCATCTTCATAAGTCAACAGGAAACATCTGGGTTGCCATAAAGCTGATATTTACCTCAATATATCTCTGTAAATATAGATATTTAAAAAAACAACAGAAGTGGTCTTAAATGAGCTCTCACAATTTTTTTCTCTTTGGTAATTATAATATTATAATATTTTGCCATTTTTTCCAATAATATAATATATTCAGGTTTGTCTCTATTTCCACTAATTAAATGATGACAGATGAAAGTTTAAATAAGTAATTACTGATGTGTCTTATATGCAAGCATGAAAATCAGAGATAGCACCATCACTGAAAGGTTATGTCGCTCAAGAATTCATTAAACATTCATTAGCCTCACCTCAGTTAAGGTGTCCTTGTTTACATATTTGCAGATTTGCATACTCATGCCCTGAACAAGATTTCAAAAATGTTTATGATCCTATGACCATCTTAATTATAAATCATCAAATAGATAAATAATAAATAAATCTTAATGAATATGGTCTATTTTTTTTTCAAGTTGGCCCTTCATGCAGTTCCAAGTACAAGATAACATGAAGATAAATGAAGATCCAGTTTGGGTGCCTCCTTCTCCCTCCTATGAATCCTGATCCAAATCCAGAATGGGTTTGGGTTAGGATTCTTGGTCATGGGGAAAGCTGTAGTGGTTGGCATAGAAGATGGGGAAAGAGAAGGTTTCCATGTCTGAATGACATTCTTATTCCCCAACCATTAACCATTTTTGTGTGTGTTTTTCACAGAGAAACCACAGACTGGAACATATTTAAATTCTTTGATAATATTTTCATTAATTTTCAGCAGTAATCGTCCATTGTGGTCCTGGGTAAGGTAACATTGAACTGGGTATGTTTAATCTGGGAACTGGCCTTTGGGTTTGGTCTAAGTTCTTACAAATTTCAGATACTACCAGATCTTTTCCAAAAATTTATCAAAATCCCAGTCATGGGCAGAGGTGGGTACAGTGAGACTTCTTATAGATGATATACAATATCTCAGTGGAGATCTGATCAATCTTATTTAACTAACAGTTATAGAGGATATAAACTGCTTCTTTCCACCTCTTCAGTGAAGTAATTCCCTGTGGTATTGCTATGGTCACGTCAGCATTACGAACTTTGTACTCAGCTAGAATGCTCTTTGGAGAAGGCAATGGCACCCCACTCCAGTACTCTTGCCTGGAAAATCCCATGGGCGGAGGAGCCTGGTAGGCTGCGGTCCATGGGGTCTCGGAGAGTCGGACACGACTGAGCAACTTCACTTTCACTTTTCACTTTCATGCACTGGGGAAGGAAATGGCAACCCACTCCAGTGTTCTTGCCTGGAGAATCCCAGGGACGGGGGAGCCTGGTGGGCTGCCGTCTGTGGGGTCGCACAGGGTCGGGCACGACTGAAGTGACTTAGCAGCAGCAGCAGCAGCAGCAGAATGCTCTTCACAGTTTCAGCACCCGGCTCAATCAGAGTAATGCTTCCTTTATCCGCTTTCTGAAAGCCAATATAAAAGGGTTTGCAGTTCAAGCGAATGCCAAAGGCCTCCAGCTCATTTTCAATTATATTCTGAGGTCTCCAAGTTTCAGAGCACCCAGAACAAGCAGGATCAAGTGACACAGTGGGGCCACTGCAGTGACTTGGCGGCTTCTCTGCCTTTCCCGTCCTTGACGCTCTCAACGATATTTGAGGGGTCCAGGAGCTGGATCTTGGTTCCTTTGTGTCTGATGACACAGCGGTCAGCAGAGTGAATCCCGGCGGCCACCTCGGAATATACTTCAGCCAAGCTACCGAACTGCGTGGACTTCCCCACAGTTAGAAAGCCCACTAACTCAGCTGGAGCATCACCTCTCTTGGCCACACCAAAACCTTCTGGCTCACCAGCACCAACACCTTTTGAAGAAACGAGTTTTCTGTGAAGCTTAACGGAGAGAGCCTTAAGCAGCTCTAAGCAGTGGTTTTGTACTTTTAGTCCGAGCCATCTCGGCTTCGATCCCAGAGGTGTCAGCTAAGATGGTGCTAATGGTGGCGATTTCCCTGAGGTGCAGTGGCCTCCACACAGACTGCTTCTGTCGCACATCTGTCAGCGGACCTGCCACCGCCGGCAGGAGCTACCGCTGTGCGCAGGCGCAATACTTCCTACTTCTCGCGAAAGTTCAGTGTGACGCTCAGTAACTCTCCACAACAACGCAGAGTGCGCCAGGGTGTAGACAAGCCTTCCGTTCCCCGTTTTTTGAAGAAGGTTTTCTTTTTTAGGGCATGGGCTGTGTCATTCAGTACGGACTTCTGGCTCTTATGTGTGCACAGGTATGTAGTGTCCAAAACCAAATTCTGGACACTGAATAAAACAAAGCCGAAACATGAGTTTATTTTCAAGGCTTACGGCCTGCAAAACCGGGAAACTCAAGGTGACAGGCGATGTTTCCTGTTGCTTACTGACTGCAGTTTTTTGTTTTTTAATCACTACATAATTATTTTTTAATGCATAACCAAAATACAGACCACCATAGTAAATTGATACCAATAAAAAATGATATTTCATTTGCATTGCATGACAAATGGTTAACGTCCTTCGTCATAAAAGAGTTCTTAGAAACCAGTAACAAAGACATTGATATTCCAAAGGAAATTTTTAAAAAGCCAGAAGAAAATAAAATAATACAAGTGACTAGTAAGAACTAAAGGATTTTTATGGAGTAAATGCAGAAGTTATTTGTCTTTTTCAACTGAGACCTGGTGGCGTCTTCCTTTTTTGGGTGAGGGTAGCTGAGTCAGGATCAACCAAGTCCAAAGCGGGTGTGAACACACTTGGCATTTGTGGATTGACTGGTATACTCTGCTAATTTCTGAGAAGAGCTGTCAGTTTCCTGCAACTAATGTTAGATAAAGTTAAATTTCATTTTTCTTTTTTTTTTCATTTATTTTTATTAGTTGGAGGTTAATTACTTTACAGTATTGTAGTGGTTTTTGCCATACACTGACATGAATCAGCCATGGATTTACATGTATTCCCCATCCCCATCCGCCCTTCCACCTCCCTCCCCACCCGATCCCTCTGGGCCTTCCCACTGCACCAGGTCCGAGCACTTGTCTCATTCATCCAACCTGGGCTGGTGATTGTTTCACCCTAGATAATATACATGTTTCAATACTGATCTCTCGAAACATCCCACCCTCGCCTTCTCCCACAGAGTCCAAAAGTCTGTTTTGTACATCTGTGTCTCTTTTTCTGTTTTGCATATAGGGTTATCATTACCATCTTTCTAAATTCCATATATATGCGTTAGTATACTGTATTGGTCTTTATTGTTCTGGCTTACTTCACTCTGTATAATGGGCTCCAGTTTCATCCATCTCATTAGAACTGATTCAAATGAATTCTTTTTAATGGCTGAGTAATATTCCATGGTGTATATATACCACAGCTTCCTGTATACAGGAAAAATGAGCTGTGGTTCATTTTTCTTTCATGTGCCTACATTTACCAACTCCATTTTGTCTTCAACGTGAGTGACTCCATTTTGTTTTGGTTCTACAGTATACATATATGTATACACACATCCACACAAGGCCAAAAGTCTAGTGGGCTGTGAGATCAAGTGCTTTTACAAGAAGGAATTAGATTGATTCCAGAAGATAGATGTCTTCTGAGTCTGAGGCTGTACTCTGGTCAAGTCAGGTCTGTCCAAAAGTGAGGTTGCAGTTGACAGCACAAGGGGTGGGAAGAATTGGGCTAGGAAAGGAGCTTGAGTGGACAGAGCAGCATTCATACCTGCCTCACCACCTTCACCACACTGGTGGCAGGTCCAGCCTAGCCTCAGAAGCAGGTATCAGACCTCGTTGGTGAGGAGGGGCATGAAAATCTGAAGTGCTCTTTGGGACCATTCTCTGGCCCTTCTCGATGCCACTACTGTGTATGTCAGAGTCTATGACTCTTCATCTTTCATAGTAATTTATAGTGACCAAATGTTCCAGGGATAAATGATATATTGAATTATTTATTAACATTCAGTGTGGAGCATTTCATAAACTGTGGGTCAAGAATCACTAGCATCTTGGTGGATTGATGTGGATTATGCCATTTCTCCTTTCACCATTTATCCGTCTAAGCTGTGGAGTTTACAAAGCAGATACTAAAGTGGAGATTTAGTAATTGCCACATTGCCTGTGATTTTTCAGATATAGTGGAAAAGGGAAAAGTCATAGAATGTAAAGTAAGGAAAAGCTGTGACAATTTGATTTTTTAAAAGTTTTGTTCTGAAAATCATGGATCATTAAGTTTGTAGTTAATACTAGAAAAGAGTCTGGCTTTCATCATGAAAGAGATAATTTATTCACATATAGAACAAAGTTCATTGATTAGGTGTAGTATGTAGTGAGTTAGAATAAACTTTGCTTCCAAAATTAAGTTCAGCATTTGGCAAAGTTTGATTGGTACAGGAGAAACAATGTATTATGTTTTAACCTAATCACTTAACAGTTTTTTTAGGCAAAATTGAGATGTGCAGACAAGATGATTCTAAAGATGAGTAAATTTTTAGCTTTTTGTATTAATACCAAAGTAACAGGAGATGCTTACATAGAAGTTGCATAAGTAATTGAGACATTTCTGTGAAATTTATTAATGACTTAAGATGCAGAGGCATACATATAAAACTGATCAACATTTATCTGGCAGTACAAAATTAATAGTTAATATGATCTGGAGTAGAGTCAGGATTCAGAAAAATCTTTAGAATTGAAATAATAGGCAGAATTCACTAAGAAAGTGTTAATATGAGATATCCAGAAGTGGCAAATTCATAGAGACTGAAAGTAAATTAGTGCTAATCAGGGCTTGGGAGAAGCAGGGGATGGGGAGTGACTATAGCAAATGAAGCAAATGATTTCCTTTTGGAGTGACAAAATGTTTTGGAATTGGATAATGGTAATGGTTGCATAATTTTGTGACTATACTAAAGTCCAGGTTTCCTGAGTGGTGCTAGTGGTAAAGAAGCCACCTGCAATGCAGGAGATGTGGGTTCGATCCCTGGGTCAGAAAGAATCCCTTGGAGTTGGAAAAGGCAACCCTCTCCAGTATTCTTTCCTGGAAAATTCATGGGTAGAGGAGCCTGGTGGGCCATAATCCATGGGGCCAAAAAGAGTCAGACACAACTGAGCAACTGAGCACATACTAAAATCCACTAAATTTTACACTTAAGGATGAATTTAATGGCAAGTGAATTATATCTCAGTAAAACTTTAAAAAGGTACTTATGTTTAATAAACTGGGAATAGAAGAAAAACTTATGAGAAAACAGAAGGAAATTGAACATAGTAAAGGATTTTTATCTTGCACATGTAAGCAGGTGAAAGTTTAGTTGCATTCTCATTAACTCATGCATGAAAAAAATGGAAAAAAATAGAAGTATATTATCTCTATTATTATGAAGCCTTGTTGTAGATATTATAAAAAAGATGTATATTGTAAATATTCTGACATGATATAGATCATATTTAAATGCTGTGAAAGAGAAGGCCATATTATATTTAATGAAGATGGTTTGATTGTCTCATGAAAGTATTAGTCTCTCAGTCATGCCTGACTCTTTGCGACCCTATGGACTGTATAGCCTACCAGTCTCCTTCATCCATGGAATTCTCCAGGCAAGAATACTGGAGTGGGTAGTCATTCCCCTCTTCAAGGGGTCTTCCCCAACCAGGGATTGAACCTGGGTCTCCTGCACTGTAGCAGATTCTTTACCATTTGAGCCACCAGGGAAGCCTATATAGAACACAAAAATTATATGTAACAAATAAATTGGAAAGAATTAAAATTCTGGATGAAAAGAATTGTTTAACAAAGTCAACAGCTTTCTTATATGCTATCAACAAACAAATATAACAAAATGAAATGGAAAAGAGAACTCAATCAAAATAACAGTCTAAAAAATAAAAATACTTAAATTCATGCGATATTGGCAAAGATGAAGACACCTTATATGGATGTCAGAGATGGGTAATTGTAGGAAATTGAATGAAAACAATTTTGTGTATGCATGTATATACATTTCTCTAAGTAGAGAATCTAAACAGTCCATCAAATTCTCAAATGAACTTAAGAAACAAAAAAGTTTATATATCATTGCCCATAAAGCAGCAGTATATAGAATAGTGTAGTAAGAATTCATTGATAAATGGGTAGTATAGTTTGATAGACAAATTGGAAATGACATATCAATGGAATCATAAAGAAAATTAAAAATATATATATTTGGTGTATGATAAATAATACATAAGTAATTCATCATTAATTTTTAAACAGTATTTGAGAAAAGAGACAAATATTTAGGAAAAAATGTAGTCTTCTTTCCATACACCAAAATTTCAGATTTATTAAGGATTTTATATAAAAATTAAATCTTAAAATATTAGTGGAAAATACAGGTTAATTTTTATGTAGGTGTAGGTCTTTAAGAGAAGCTTCCCTGGTGGCTAAGTTGTAAAGAATCCGCTTGCCAAAGAAGACTCAGGTTTGATCTCTGGGTCAGGAAGAGATCCCCTGGAGAAGGGAATGGCAACCCACTCTAGTATTCTTGCTTGGAGAATCCCATGGACAGAGGAGCCTGATGGGCTACAGTCCATGGTGTCACTAAAGAGTTGGACACAACTTAGCAAGTAAGCAGCAACAACATAATTACTTTACAATGCGGTGTTAGTTTCTGCTGTAAAATGAAGAGAATCAGCTATATGTATACATATAGCTGAGTATTCTTTTGCAAACAGGAAAACACAAGAACTTTAGAGTGTAATAGGTAAATAACAAATCAGGAAAAGCATTGTAATATATTTGACAAGGTTTAATGTTAATACATAAAATTCTCTAACAAAAACTTCAAAGAGAGAGATCAAAA